TTTGTGACATCTTTATAAATGTTCTAGGAGATAACATATTAGGAGATACTGAAAACATACATATTGAAGCCATATGGCGATGTATAAAAGACAGGCTCAATTAAATAGAATTAAACCAATGACTGGTGAAAACCAGGGACCCCATGGTTTAAAAGATCTGAGGAGAGAGTTAAAGTTTATTGGGCATCAGAAAAGTAAGAGAGTAGGTTTAATGGAAATTGGATGCTGGCAGAAATGTCTTTATAGAAAATGAACATTCTGTGGACTTAGAATAAAAGGAAGTAAGGAAAATAAGAAAACACGAAGCCCTAGGTGAAATAGGACATAGGATTGTGGAGTGGGAGAAAGAGAAACCTACAAATGACAAGTATTACAACTCTACATATACCTGTGTTTGGGTTTTCATATTTTTAGAAGAGTTGTCAGTTCAGAACAAAAGAGAGAAGACAATAGGATTCCCATATATAAGTGGTACATTTGTTGCAATCGACAAATATATATTAACACAACATTATCACCCAAAGTACATACTTTTGGACTCATTCTTGATGTTGCATATTCTATTAGTTTTGAAAGATGCATAATGACATTAGTCTACCACTACAGTATCATACAGAGTAGCTTGGTTGCTATAAAAAAATCCTTTGTGTTCTATCTGTGTACCTCTCCCTCCCCTAATCCTTAGAAACCACTAAATTTTTTGCCTTTTCCAGAATGTCATACAGTTGAAATCATAGAGTATGCAGTATTTTCAGATTGGCCTCTTTCACTTAATAATATTCATTCAATATTCCTATATTTCTTTTCATGGCTTGACAACACATTTCCTTTTAGCTCTCAGTAAGACTCCATTGTCTAGATGTACCACAGTTTATTTATCCATTCACTTGCTGAAGGACATCTTGATTACTTCCAAGTTTGGACAATTGTGAACAAAGCTGCCACTAACATAAGCATCAATGTGCAAGCTTTTGTGAGGACAAAGTTTGGGTAAATATCAAAGGGTGTGACTTCTAGATCAGATGACAAAGGGTATGCTTTGTTTTGTAAGAAACGCCAAACTGTCTTCCGAAGTGGTTGTTCCACCTGTCATTCCATTAGCAGTTAGTGAGAGTTCTTATCTTCATCTTTGTCACCATTTGGAATTGTCAGTGTTTGGGATTTGAGCCATTGTAATATGTGTATAGTGGTAACTTATTGTTGCTTTTTTTTTTAATACCAGAGATTGAACCCAGGTCTATCTTGATGACTGCCATTCTGAATGGTGTAAGATGAAATCTCAGTGTAGTTTTGATTTGTATTTCCCTAACTGCTAATGATGTTGAACATTTTTTATGTATTTTTTGGCCATTTATGTTTCTTCTTTTGAGAAGTGTCTGTTTAGTTTATTTGTCCATTTATTAATTGGGTTATTTGATTTTTTGGTGTAAAGTTTTTTGAGCTCTTTATATATTCTAGACATTAATCCTCTGTCAGAAGAGGAGATAGCAAATGTTTTCCTTCCATTCTATGGGTTCTCTCTCTTCTCATTCCAAATTATTTCCTTTGCCATGCAGAAGCTTTTTAACTTGATGCTGTCCCATTTATTAACTCTTGGCATTATTTCCTAAGCTTAGTGCTCTTATGGATAAAGTCTTTACCTGGGCCTAAAAGCCAGAGTGTTGACCCTATGTTTCTTCTAGGAGTTGCATAGTTTCTGGTCTAATTCTGAGGTCTTTAATCCATTTTGAGTTGATTTTGGTGCAGGGTTAGAGGAAGAGTCTAGTTTCATTTTTCTACATATGGATAACCAGTTGTCCCAGTACCATTTGTTAAAAAGGCTATTTTCCAACTTGTGTTTTTGTCACTATTGTTAAGGATCAGATGACTGTATCTGTATCTTGTCTGTCTTCTATTCTGTACCATTGGTCTGTGTGTCTCTTTTTAATGCTAGTACCATGCAGTTTTTGTTAGTATAGTTCTATAGCATAATTTGAAGTCAGGTATTATGAATGCCTCCAGAATTGCTTTTGGGGTTTAAAATTGCTTTGGCTGGGGCTGGGGTTGTGGCTCAGTGGTACAGCATTTGTCTCACATGGGTGAGGAATTGGGTTCAATTCTCAGCACTGCATATAAATAAATGAATAAAATAAAGGTCCATCAACAACTAAAAAAATTTTTTTAATTGCTCTGGCTATTCTGTGTCTTTTATTCTTCCAAATGAATTTTAGGACTATTTTTTCTAGTTCTGTGAAAAATGTCATTGGTATTTGGTGGAGATTTCATTGAATCTGTATATTGCTTTTGGTAGTATGACCATTTAAACAATATTAATTCTGCCTATCCATTAACATGGGAAGTCTTTCCATCTTCTGAGTTCTTCAATTTCGTTCTTCAATGAAGAAAGAAGTTTCTATAGTTTTCATTGTAGAGGTCTTTTACCTCCTTTATTAGATTTACTCCTAGAACTTTTAGGCTATTGTGAATGGAACTGTTTTCCAGATTTCTTTCTCAGCAGATTCGTTGCTGGAAAGCGATTGATTTTAGTATGTTTATTTTGTAAACTGCTACTTTGCCAAAATTTATTTATTAGCTCTAGCAGTCTTTTGGTGGAGTTTTTTTTTTTTTTATCTTCTAGGTATAGGATTATATCTTCTGCAAACAGTGATAGTTTGACTTCTTCCTCTACTATTTTTATCGCTTTCATTTCCTTCTCCTGCCATATTGATCTGGCTAGAATTTGTACCACTATATTAAATAGAAGTGGTAGAATGGACATCCTTGTCTTGGAATATTTTTTTTCTTTTGTGTTTCTTTTGTTGTTGCTGCTGCTGTTGTTTTTGTTGTTCTTTGTAGATATAAATGACAGTGGAGTGTATTTTGACATACACACATGGAGTATAACTTTCTAATTGAGATCCCATTTTTTCAGTTATACATAATTTGGAGTTGCACTGGTCATGTATTCATAAATGAAAATAGGAAAATTATGTCCAAATCATTCTGTCTTTCCTATTCCCATCCACCCTCCTTTCTCTTCATTCCCCTTTGTCTAATCCAATGAAATTCTATTCTTCCCTCCCCCTCCCCTTATTGTATCTTAGCATCTGCATATCAGAGAGAATATTTGGCCTTCGTTTTTTGGGGATTGGTTTATTTCACTTAGCACGATAGTCTCCAGTTCCATTCATTTACTGGCATATGCTATAATTTCATTCTTCTTTATGGCTGAGTAATATTCCATTGTGTATATATATCATAGTTTCTTTATCCATTTATCTCTTTTTTTAAAAAAATAATTTTTAGTTGTCAGTGGACCTTTATTTTATTTCTTTTTATGGGGTGCTGAGAATCGAACCCAGTGCCTCACACATGCTAGACAAGAGCTCTACCATTGAGCTACAACCCCAGCCCCTCCATTCATCTCTTGAAGGAGGGGCTGGGGTTGTAGGTTGGTTCCATAGTTTAGCTATTATGAACTGAGATGCTATAAACATTGATGTGGCTGCATCGCTACAATATGCTTATATTTTAAGTCCTTTGGGTATATAGTGAGGAGTGGGATAGCTGGGTCAAATGGTGATTCCATTCCAAGTTTTCTGAGGAATGCATACTGTTTTCCGGAGTGGCTGCACCAATTTGCAGTGCCACTAGGAATGTAAGAGTGTACATAATTCCTCACATCCTTGCCAACATTTATTGTTACTTGTATTCTTGATAATTGCCATTATGACTGAAGTGAGATGGAATCTCAGTGTCGTTTTAATTTGCATTTCTCTAATTGCTAGAGATAATGAAGATTTTTTCATATATTTGTTTTTTCAAATTTATAGTCACACAATTTTTTTAATTAATTAATTTATTTGTTCTAGTTTTTTTCATATATATGTTGACCAATCATATTTCTTCTTCTGTGAAGTGCCTGTTCAGTTTCTTTGCCCATTTATTGATTGGGTTATTTTTTTCTTAGGTGTTAAATTTTTTGAGTTCTTCCTATGTCCTGAAGATTAATGCTCTATCTGAGGTGCAGGTGGCACAGACTTTCTCCCATTATGTTGGCTCTCTCTTCATGTTCTTGATGGTCTCCTTTGCTGTAAAGAGACTTTTTAGTTTGACACCATTCCTTTTATTGATTTTTAATTTTACTTCTTGCACTTCAGGAGTCTCATTGAGGAATTCGGTTACTAAGCTGACCTGATGGAGAGCTGGGCCTACTTTTTGTTCTAGTCAGCATAGGGCCTCTGGTTTAATGCCTATGTCCTTGATCCACTTTGAGTTGAATTTTGTGTAAGGTGAGAGATAGGTGCTCAATGTCATTCTACTACATATGGATTTCCAATTTTCCTAGGACTATTTTTCAAAGAGGTTATCTTTTCTCCAACGTATGTTTATGGATCCTTTGTCTAAGTACGAGATAACTGTATTTACATGGGTTTGTCTCTGGGTCTTCTATTCTATTCCGTTTGTCTTAATGTCTGTGTTTGTGCCAATACCATGCTGTTTTTGTTATTATGGCTCTTATTATAATTTAAGGTCTGGTTTTGTGAGGCCTCCTGCGTCACTTTTATCACTAAGCTAAGTATTGCTTTGGCTACTCGAGGCTTCTTATTTTTCCAGTGAAATTTATGACTGCTTTTTCTATTTCTATGAAGAACATCATTGGAATTTTAATAGAAATTTAATTAAACCTGTTTAGCACTTTTAGTAATATGGTCATTTTGACAATATTAAAAACATCTAAAAACTCTTTGTTTCATTGATTCTTTTTTTTTTTTTCCAGTTCATTGATTTCAGCTCTGATCTTAATTACTTTCTTCCTTCTACTAGTTTTGGAATTGTTTTGTACTTTTTTTTTTCAAGGGTCTTTAGATGTATCATTAGGTTTTTTATTTGGGATCTTTCTGATTTTCTTATGTAGGCACTCATAGCTATAACTGCCTTCATATTAAGAACATCCAAGAACATCCATCTTCTAAAGTCTTCTTCAATTTCTTTCTTTAGTGTTCTATAGTTTTCATTGAAAAAATATGAAACAATTCATGAATTTGCATGACATCCTTGCACAGGGCCCATGCTAATCTTCTCTGTATGGTCCAATTTTAGTATATGTACTGCTAAAACCAGCACTGGAGTAATTTCTTTATTTCAAGATTTTAAATAATATACTTTTCATTTTTTCTCCATTTACTATGAGGTTGACTTTGAGTTTCTCATACATAGCATTTCTGATGTTGAGGTAGCTTCCTTGTATAATTAGTTTCTTCAGTGTTATTTATCATGAATGGGTGCTGAATTTTGTTACAGGCCTTCTCTGCATCTATTGAGATTACTAAGTAAGTTTGTCCTTAATTCCATTAATGTGATGAATTATATTTGTGAATATTAAACTATCCTTGGATATCTGGAATAAAACAAACTTGGTCGTGATGACTATCTTCTTAATGTATTGTTGGGCACTATTTGCTAATTTTTTAGTATTTTTTTCACCAAAGTTCATCAGGGATATTGGTCTGTAGTTTTATTCCCTTGATGTGTCCTTATCTGGTTTTGGTATGAGTGTGATACTGGCTTTATAAAATGAATTTGGAAGTGTTCCATCTCTTTCTATTTCATGGTATAATTTGAGGAGTATTGACATTAGTTCTTTCTTAAAGGTTTAGTAGAATTCAGCTGAGAATCAATTTGGTCCTGGGATTTTCTTTGTTAGAGGCTTTTTACTACTGCTTCTATCTAATTACAAGTTATTAGTCTGTTTCTATGTCCTTTTGGTTCAGTTTTGGCAGACTGTATTTGTCTAGAAATGTATTCATTTCTTCTAGGTTTTCTAGTTTATTGGAGTATATGTTTTCAAAATAGTCCCTAGTAATCTGCTGAATTTCTGAGATGTCTGTGGTGCTTTCTCCTTTTTCATAACTAATTTTATTAATTTGGTTTTTCTCCTTTTTTTTTTACTTTTGGTTAGTTTGGCTAAGGGCTTATTAATTCTGTTTATCTTTTTAAAAAAATAACTCTCTATTTCATTGATCCTTCTTTTTTTTTGGTTGTTGTTCAAGTTCATTGATTTCAGCTCTGATCTTAATTACTTTCTTCCCTCTACTAGTTTTGGAATTGCTTTGTACTTTTTTTTTCAAGGGCCTTTAGATGTATTATTAGGTTTTTTATTGGGGATCTTTCTGATTTTCTTATGTAGGCACTCATAGCTATAACTGCCTTCATAGTGTCTCCAAGGTTCTGGTATGTTGTGTCACTATTCTCATTCGAGTCTAAAAATTTTATAATTTCTCCCTTGACTTCTTGTATCACCCATTCATCATTAAATCTCCATGTGTTTAGTTTCATAGGAGTGTGTTTTGGTGTTGATTTCTAATTTCATTTCATTATTATCTGATAAGATGCAGGAATTATATTATTTTGTTTTGTATTTGCCAAGAGTTGTTTTGTGACCTAAAATACGGTCTATTTTGGAGACAGTTTCATGAGCTGCTGAGAAGAAAGTGTGTACAGCTGTTGTTGGATAAAATATTCTATAAATATCTATTAGATACAGTTGATTTGCATTTTTCAGGTCCAAAGAGTCTTTACTGAGTTTATGTCTGGATGACGGATCTAATGGGTGAGAGAGATGTGTTGAAATCACCCAGTATTATTATGATGGGGTCTATCTAGGCCTTCAATTTGAATAGTGTCTCTTTTTTGTAATTAGTTGCACCCACATTTGGGACATAAATATTTATGGTTGTTATATCTTTTTATTGGATTATTCCTTTTAGCAATATGAAGTGACCTTCTTTGTCCTTTTTGATTAATTTCAGTGTAAAATCTGCTTTTTCAGACATGAAAATAGCTACTCTTGCTTGTTTGGGGGCTCTATTCACATGATATATCAATTTTATCCTTTCACTTTCAGCCTGTGACTATCTTTTCCCATAACATGCATCTCTTGCAAACAACATATAATTGGGTCTTGTTTTTTAATCCATTCTACCAGTCTATGTCTTTTAATAAGAGTGTTGAGGCCATTTATATTCAGTGTTATTGTAGAAAGATGTTTATTAACTTCTGCCATTTTTATTTATTTATTGTGTTTAATTTGGTCCTGTTTCTCATTTGCTTAGCTACTCTTCAAATAGATTTGTTCTTTTGTGAGCTCTGAGGTTTGTTTTGTATTTCTTCTATGTGCAATATTTCTTTAGGTAAGTTCTGTGATGCCAGTTTAGTAGTCATGAACTCTTTTAGTTTCTGCTTATCTTGGAAGATTTTTATTTTCTTTACAATTTTGAATGATAGCTTTTCTGGATACAGCAATATTGGCTGACAGTTATTTTCTTTCAGTACTTGGAACACATTCTTCCAAGCCCTCCTGGTTTTTAGTTTGTGATGAAAAATCAGAAGTGATTCCTTCAAAATATGACCTGATGTTTTTCTCCTGAGGCTTTTAAAATTCTATATTTGTTTTATATATTAGGTATTTTAATTATAATTGTCATGGAGAGGTTCTTTTTTGATCTTGTCTATTTGGCTCTCTAAATGCATTCTGTATCTGGATATCCATCTCATTCTGAAGGATGGGAAATTTTTCTTTTATTATTTCCCTGAAGAGTTTATCCAGTCCTTTAGTCTGCATTTCACAGCCCTCTTCAGTTCCAATAATTCTTAAATTTGGTCTCTTCATGTTGTCCCAGAGCTCTTGTATATTCTGATCACGGTTACTTTTTTTTCTTTAGTACACTGTGAATGTTCAAGGCTGGCCACTTTGTTTTCCAGTTGTGAGATTCTGTCTTCAGCAAGGCTTAGTCTATTTCAGAGACTTTCAACTGAACATTTTAATTTATTATCATGTCTTTCATTTCCAAGAGTTCTGTTTGGTTCTTTTTCAATATTTCTGTCTCCTTATTGAATTTCTCATTCATATTCTATACTGATTTTCTTATTTCATTCACTTGTTTTTTGTGCTCTCTTGAAATTTATTGATCATTTTAATAATGATTCTTTTGAATTACTTACCTGATATTTCATCCACTTCAATATTTTGGGGGTCATTTGCTGGTGAATTATGACCTTTAGGAGGTGCTTTTTCATATTTCTTATATTCATATGTTGGCTTGTATGCATCTGTTGGAAGGGATTTCTCTTCCACTCTCATGTGTACCATCCCTTTTAGGGGTACAGTGTTCAGTTGTTAAAGTGACCTAGAGTGATCTGGACTGAGACTCCCTCATAGGTGTGTTCACCACATATTTTTGTTATCACTCTCTGTTTCTGCTATTGCAATGGGTGTCCGTAAGTGGGATCTGAAGGCCCACCCCTAGCCATTTCTACTTAGGGCCTAGTCATTAGTTTGGGTTTTTGTATCTTCTATTCTTTGTACTAAATTATAGCTGAACATTGCGTGTCATTAATTTGTGTGTGGAACAAGGTGAACTTGTCTTTAGTTTGGGTTTTTGTATCTTCTATTCTTTGTACTAAATTATAGCTGAACATTGTGTGTCATTAATTTGTGTGTGGAACAAGGTGAACTGTCTTTTGGTTGAGTTTAGTTCAGCAGCAGAAGTTCTACACTATGAACTTGTAGTGTCCCTGTAACTTTCCAACACCTCAGAGAATAGGAGGAAACAAAAAATATCAACAACCAATGCAAACAATATACAGCATTAAAAAAATACTTGGGTCCTACAATGACATCTATAATGTTAACTGTCACACCACACAAACAGAAATGGCAGAGTCAGCAATTGCCATCAGCAAAAACAAGTAACCATAAACTATATCTGACATTAAAGCAAAAAATAGGTGTAATCTATGGCATCCAAAGCAACAGCATTAGTGGTAGAGGCAGGAGTATATAAACCAATTAATGCAAAAAGATGGTGAGAATATAGTTAATTAAGAAATAAGAAAATGTTGGGGATGGGGTTCTGGCTCAAAGGTAGAATGTCACCTAGCATGTATGGGCATTGGGTTTGGTCCTCAGCACCATATAAAAATAAAATAAAGGTATTGTGTCCACCTACAACTATATATATATATATATATATATAAGAAAAAGTGATAGGAAGGTAGAAAAGAGTTTACAATGTCAAAAAGTGAACAGAGGGAATGAAGACGAGATGTAGAATGTAATGTTATAAGGAAGAAGGAGAAAAATAGAAGTAATAATGTAAAAGGAGAATTAAAGAGAATAGAATCTGGCGGTTCGCAGAAGACAGAAAGAGAAACAGACAAATTAAAAATGATACAAAACAAAACCAAAATATAACATCAAAAACCCTAACCCTCAAAAGGCAAGGTAAGGAAAAAAACTACATTTTTTAAAATGTCAAAAAAGAAAAGAAAAAAAAAAAAAAAAATATATATATATATATATATATATATATATATATCCATGAACCAATCAGCACAGCAAAAGCACACATTAAAAACAAAATTTTAAAATAAAGATTATTAATGAAGAATTCAGGAATCATTTCTACTCAGGTGGTCAAAATAGCCAATGAGAATACATGGTCACTGGCTGTGTAAGAGGACAGATAGATGAGGATGGTGAGAACCCAAGGTTAAGAGAATAATTCTATAAAATGAGTCCACTGAACTGATTCCCTACATGCTTTATTTGCCAAAAAGCAATCTGCCTGAAGCCCCACCTGGCCTGAGTGGACAGGATTTATCACATTCCTCAGCAAAATGAAGCAGGGGGGTGAAGTTCAGGCAGTCAGTGTAGGTAATGAATAATGGGGGTAGAGAGGATGAGGGCTGGTTACCGAAGAAAAGACAAGGGTTGCTAATGGTTAACCTCTGGGATCACACTTCCTGGGGCAAAATGGGTGGCTAATGATTACCCCCTGTGTTCCTACTTCTACCTTTCCTTAGGCATGTACATTGAGAAAAGAAAAGAAAGAGAAGGTGGGGGATTCTGGGGTCTATAGAAGAGCAAGACACTATAGTGACATGGCCACATCAATGTTCATAGCAGTTCAATTCACAATAGGTAAACTATGGAACCAACCTAGGTACCCTTCAACAGATGAATGGATAAAGAAAATATGTTGGATATACACAAGGGAATATTACTCAGCCATAAAGAAAAATAAAATTATGGCATTTGCTGGTAAATGGATGGAATCGGAGAC